TGCTGCTGTAGCGTCTCTACCGCTGCGCCCTTTCTGTCCAGCGTTGCTCTGTGTATCTCCCTTGCTGCCCCTGGCCGAGCCCACGCGCCTCTGCTGCTGCTGCTGCTGCTGCTGCTGCAGGCAGCACTGGCGGCGGAGTCTGTATGGATTGCTGCGCTGCTGCTGGAGGAGTTTGCTGCTGACCTTTCGGTGCCGCGGCTGCTGCAGCGGTACGAAGACGCGTTTGGGCGCGAGGGGGGTTTGCTGCTGCAGCGGGAGCCGCAGGGGGATGTGCAGCAAAAGGTGCTGCTGCTGCTGCAGCTGCTGCTGCAGCAAGGCTTCGAAGTTGTCTTCATTCTGCAGCACCGCATGCATCTTTTGTCTCCGCCTCTTTCTGAAGAAATGATTTGGAGGACTTATGAGCTGGACCGCCACTACTGGCGGCTGCGTGCTGCGAGAGTTAAGCTGCTGCAGCTGGGGGTCACGCTGCAGCAGCAGCAGCAGCAGCAGCAGCAGCAGCGGCGGCGGCGGGAGGGCGGCGACGCCGCCGCCATGCAGCCTGCTGCTGCTGCTGCTGCAGCGGAGACTCCGGAAGCAATTAAGGCTAAGCTGCTGCAGTTAGTTGCTGCAGCACACACTGAACAAGATCTTGAGGATGTCCGGCTCTTTGTGGTGACCCACTACCACCCCCAGCTTGCTGCTGCTGCTGCTGCTGCTGCTGCTGCTGCCAAGGGCACCAGCAGCCAGCTCTCCGAGCGAGCGGACAAGGAAGAGACCCTCGAGGAAGCAGATGACCCATTGCTGCAGCAAGAAGCTGGAGATGATGAGCTGCACGAGCAGCAGCAGCAGCAGCTGCAGCAGGGAGAGGACGAGGGCTTCTTCCAGGAGCAGCAGCAGCAGCAGCAGGACCTGGATGCGCTGCAGCAGCAGCAGCTCACCCAAGACAGCGCGCTGCAGCAATCGCAGCCAGACGGCAACGAAAGCCTCCCGTGGACCGCAACACAAGAAGCAGCAGCAGCAGCAGCAGGGGTAGCAGCAGCAGCAGCAACGGAGGAGGGAGACAGCTTAATGCCCTCATTCCCCACGCAGCCATCGGCAGATGCTGCTGCTGCTCCGAGTCAGGAGTGGCAGCAGCAGGGGCAGGAGCAGCAGGAGCAGCAGCAGCAAGAGCTTCTTGAGCAGCAGCTGGATGTTGATCCGCAGCACGTGCTGCGCGACCTGCAGCAGCTGTATCTGCAGCAGGGAGACGAGCAGCAGCAGCAGCAGCAGCAGCAGCAGCTTGATGTTGAGGAGCCCGTGGGAGGCTCTCAGCTGTTTCATGACGAGGAGATGCTGCAGCAGGAGCCTCATGACGAAGCAGCAGACGCAGCAGCAGCAGCAGCACTGCAGCAGCAAGACGCAGCAGCAACACCGGCAGCTCTTGGTGCTGCCCTCGAGTCTGCTGCAGCGGCAGCAGCAGCAGCAGCAGCTGGTGCTGCTGAAGCCCAGCACAAAGCAGCAACGTCTGTGGATGGTCACCCAGTAGCAGCAGACTCGGTCGACGCAGCAGGGCGGCCAGCAGCAGCAGCAGATTCAGCAGCAGCAGCAGAGCCAACAGCGGCAGCAGAGCAAGCAGCAGCAGCAGCAGCTGCTGCAGCGCCTGCACCCACACAAACGGCAGCACCAGCACCTGCAAGGCCGCATGCGGCGAAGTGGGATCAGCCGCCGCAGCAGCTGCTGCAGCAGCAGCAGCAACAGCAGCAGCTGTTGCTGCAGCAAGGGAGGCAGGACGGGGTGCAGCCTAGTAAATCAGCTCACAGTGACAGCAACAGTAGCAGCAGCAGCAGCAGCAGCAGCGCGGCCAGAGGGGCCCCGAAGACCACTTCTCGCTGGGGCCAGGGGGCCCCCAAGCCAGCAGAATCTGCAGCAGATATAGCAGCAGCAGCAGCAGCAGACTTCTTTGGCTTTTCGAGCTCCCAGGAGCCAGCAGCGGGCGCCACGCAGCCAGCAGCAGCAACAGCAGCAACAGCAGCAGCAGACTCAGTCGGCTTCTCTGGTTCTTCAAGGGCAGCAGCAGCTGCGTCGCAAGCAGGAGCAGCAGCTGCAGCAACTGAATCTGCTGCTGCGGTGGCAGCAGCTGCAGCAGCAGACTTCTTTGGCTTCTCCCAGAGCAGCGCAACAGATCGCAGCAGAGATGAAGACCGAATGGAGATAGACGGGCAGCCAACCAGCAGCAGCAGCAGCAGCAGCAGCAGTAGCAGCAGCAGCAGCAGCAGCAGCAGCAGCTGGAGCGGAGGGCTGGCGGTGCTCAGAGACAGCTACGGCTATCGGTGGGAGCTGACGAAGGAGCAGCAAGCTGCAGCAGCAAAAGAAGAAGAAGAGCTGAAGCAGCTGCTTGCTGCTGCTCAAGAGGAAGAGTGGGCAGAAGCCGAAGCAGCAGCAGCAGCAGCAGCAGCAGCACACAGGCCCATCACCTACAAAGATATATCGCCTTCTGACGCCATCGAGGTGCGCTTCGGCGCCTCCTTCCCTGCTGCGCTGCTGCTGCTGCTGCTGCCGCTTCTGCTGCTGCTGCTGTTCCTGCTGCTGTTTTGCTGCTGCTGCTGCTGCTGCTGGCGCTCCGACTGGAAAGTGCTGTTCGCAGCACACAAGCCCCAAGCACATCAAGGGGAAGAGGAAGCAAATAACAAAACTAATTAAATAAAATTAATAAAATTAATTGAATATAATTAATTAAATCAATTAAATTGAACTAAGTGAGCTGCTGCTTGTTGCAGCTGGCGCACCGGTACGGGCTGTCGGGGGCGTGGGACGGCTTGCTGCTGGACAGCAGCAGCTTCGCAGCAAATTTGACATTTTTGTGTTTTGAAGACAAAAACCCTTTAGAGCCAAGTGCAGCACTTCCTTTGCCGCAGCAGCCGCTGCTGCCAGCTCCGCAGATTCCGCCGGCGCCGGAAGCAGCAGCAGCAGCAGCAGCAGCAGCAGCGGCGGCGGCGGCGGCTGCGGGCGCGGGCGGCGGGCCGGCCGCAGCAGCAGCAGCAGCAGCAGCAGCAGCAGACGCGCAGCTGGAAGCTGCTGCTGCGCAGTGGGCTGCCCAGTGGACCAGGGGCCCCTTCGTGACGGGGGCCCAAGTGCTGTCGCTGCTGGTGCAGCGCAGCGCGAGAGAGCTGGCAGCAAACTTGCTGCTGCGGCAGCTGCTGCGGCAGAAGCTGCTGCAGCTGCTGCGCGTCTCTGTTGTCACCACTCCCAAGGGCGAGAGGGAGGCAGACCCTGCGAAGCCTTGCTGGCTGGCCCGCAGGCTCTGGCGCCTGCCGCTCGCCCGCTTCCGCGAAGAGGCCAGTCCCAAACCCTAAACCCTAAACCCTAAACCCTAAACCCTCCGAGACCCCCAAACACGCACCCCCGCGCCACGCCCTTTCCAACGAGGGGTCACAAGGGGTGGCTCCCGTCCACGGTTTCGCCGCGAGGGTTTAGGGTTTAAGGTTTAAGGTTTAGGGTTTAGGGTTTGGGGTTTGGGGTTTACGTGCAGATCCTGCCGGAGTTCATGCCGCCCCAGCCCTGCCTGCCGTGGCGGGACCGCGCACGGCGGCGGCAGCAGCAGCAGCAGCAAGCAGCAGCAGCAGCAAGGCAACGGCAGCCGCTGCAGAAGCAAAACAAGACACAAGAGGAAGCAGCAGACCCTCTTGTGAGGCCTAGGAAGCTGCAGCAGCTTTTGAAAGACAGAAGGGACAACCCCATAGGGCCCCTCTTCCTCCAGGTAAACCGTAAACCCTAAACCCTAAACCCTAAGCCCTAAATACTAGCCAGAAACTGACTGGGGATCGTCCCCACAAAACGATTCTAGACACAAACTCTAAACCCTAAACCCTCGGGGAGAGCTGATCTGCTCCTTTACCCTCTTCGCTGTTTACCTTCGGAGGAGGCTCCTGCCCCTCTTTTCTGCTGCTGCTGCTGCTGCTGCTGCTGTATTTGTTCTTAATTTTGTTGCTGCATTTGTTGCCGCTGCATTTGCTGCTGCTGCATGTGCTACAGCTGTCGTTATGTTTGCTGCTACTGCTAGTTTTGCTGCTGCTTTTGTTCCTGCGCCTATTGCTGCTCTACGTGCTGCTTATGGCCCACTAACTGCAGCCGCTGCTATGTTCGCTGCTACTTCACTGCTGCTGCTGCTGCTTTGCTTCTGCTGCCAGTGCTGGTGCTGCAGCTGCTGCAGTACTGGCTGCTGCTGTGCGTCTACTGCTACCCGTTGTGCTGCTACTGCTGCATTTGCTGCTGCCTCTCCTGCCTCCGCCCCACTGCTCGAGTTGCTGCTGCTGCTGCTGCATTAGCGGCTGGCTCTGCGGTCGCTGCGCGCCGCGCGGCCTGCTGTATTCGCTGCAGCTGCTGCTGCACTTGCTGCTGCTGCTGCTGCTGCTGCTGCAGATTCAGCAGCTGGAGAAGCAAGGGGAAGTTGTCATGGTGCTGCACCCTTTGGCTGGAGAAACTCCGCCGTGGCGGCGGGAAGAATTTAGCCGGCGGCATGCAGAGGCTTTGAAGGAGCAGCAGCTGCTGCGGCTGAGCAGCAGCAGCAGCAGCAGCAGCAGCAGCAGCGGCTACCTCGAGGACCTGCAGCAGCAGCAGCAGTTCCTCGAGAGCGAGCAGCAAAAGTTCGCCGAGGCGGAGCAAGAAGACCAGCAGCAAATCGAGACGCTGCTGACGCAGCTGCTGCAGGCCTACACCCCACTGGCTGCTGCGCTGAACAGCAGCAGCAGCAGCGGCAGCAGCAGCAGCAACAGCGAGGAACTTGCTGCTGCTGCGCCGTGGGTCTACGTGCAGCGGCTCATTCTGAAGCGGCTGCTGCTGCACGAAATGCTGCCTGTTGTTAAGAAGGAAGCAAAAGAGTTGCTGCTGCGGCAGTCTCAAGAAGCTGTGCTGCGCTGCTGCAGCGAAATGCTGCACTGGAAGCTGAATATGGAGCCGCTGCGGCCGACGCCGCAGCAGCAGCAGCAGCGGCAGCAGCGGCTAGCAGCAGACCCAGCAGCAATTGACTGTCTTGCTTTCGTGGTGCAGCACCTCGCAGTTGGCAGCAGCAGAGGAGCAGCAGCAGCAAGAGCGCATGCAGTATTTGTGAACTCTTTAGGAGAAGCAGAGGCGCACGAGTGCTTTGACTTGCTGCTGAACGCGCGGCTGCCAGACGACCCGCAGCAGCAGCAGCAGCAGCAGCA